CGCGACCGGCAACGGGATCGCAACCCTCGGGGTCATGCCCACACCGCGCTCAACCAGTGAGCAGACCGGTCTCTATATGGGATCCGAACCCTCGGCGGGAGCACCACCACGCTCTCAAGCGCCGCACTCTACCGAGTGCGCCACTGGGCCGGCCCTTTATTTATTTTTAATCACTTTTTTTTTTTTTGGTGGCTGGCCAGTAAGGGGATCTGAACCCTTGACTTTGGTGTTATCAGCACCATACTCTCCCAAGTGAGACGCCAGCCCTCAATTTTTTTAATTATAGGGAGTTTGGGTGTTGGGTGTCGTGGAGAAACAAAGTTTTTTCCTTTTTTATTCAGGATTTGACGAAACGTTCAAGTCAAACACAGAATAAAGCCAGCAGGAAGAGGCAGCATGAGGAACCAGAGAGCTTCTTTACCTGGTTTACTGACCATTCTGATGCAGGTGCAGATGAGTTAGGAGAAGTCATCAAAGATGATATTTGGCCAAATCCGTTACAGTACTACTTGGTGAGTTGCGAATTTTTATTTATCCAAGGTTGTACTTGTCACATTTGTTTTGAAATGAGTTTTTAAGGTAACTCTTTGTTTTTTAAGGTTCCTGATATGGATGATGAAGAAGGGGAAGGAGAAGAAGATGATGATGATGATGAAGAAGAAGAAGGATTGGAAGATATTGATGAAGAAGGGGATGAGGATGAAGGTGAAGAAGATGAAGATGATGATGAAGGGGAGGAAGGAGAGGTAAAAGAAGAATTTGGCTGGACCCCAAAAGATAATCTTTAAAGGATTCACCATGTTGTTTGTAGTATTTTGCATATAGTATAATGGAACTGGCCCATAACTGATTTATTGTGGGAGGACTAGTAGAAAAGATAAGCTATTTTGTTGCCAGATAATCAAGGAAATGTTTGATAAGTTCATTGTATTAATGTTTTAACAAGTTCTTTTCTTTTCTTCTTCTTCTTTTTTTTTTTTAAAGATGACCGGTAAGGGGATCTTAACCCTTGACTTGGTGTTGTCAGCACCACGCTCACCCAGTGAGCAAACTGGCCATCCCTAGATGGGATCCAATCCTGTGGCCTTGGTGTTGTCAGCACCGTACTCTCCCAAGTGAGCCATGGGCCAGCCCCTAACAAGTTCTTTTCTGGTTACTTTTTTTATGACTACCCTGCCAAACCTGTATTTTCGTAGTCAGTGAGTGGGCAGTGCAGCAGGTCAGATTCTGAACTGTCTTCCCAAATAATAGCATTGCATGCTTTGGGCAAACTGTAAAATTCTTGAATAGTTAAATTAGGATAGATCGGTTTTGTTATGGATTATTTAGTCTGAAATGTGCCCAATGATTTGTTTAGTACTGAAAAGTCACTAATTTATTTGAAACAACATCACTGGGTCTTTGAATTGAGATTCAATGCAGGTTGATGTACAGGATTAGAAAATTAAGTGCTCCCAGAGAATATTGTCATTATATTCTGTGGGGTCCATTGTGGTCTATATGAAAGCTAGCAAGTGACTTTATATTCAACCCTGAAGATTAATTGCCAACTTTTTCTTTCAGGAGGATGAAGGAGAAGATGACTAATAGAATACTGATGGATTCCAACCTTCCTTTTTTTTTTTTTTTTTTTTTAAATTTTCTCCAGTCTCTGGGAGCAAGTTGCAGTCTTTTTTTTTTTTTTTCTTCCCCCATTTCCACCCCCCCTCTTGTGCTCAGTCGCCCTGTTCTTGAGGTCTCTTTTCTCTACACCATGGTTCTC